GCCCTCATCTCACTTATTGATGTATTTGATTTTATTTCGTTATGACCGCTTCCATCACAGATTTATGTCCATTTCTAATGATCACTTCCTCACTCAAGAAATTAACTGTCTCCCCTGTCGTTTATTGCAGTCATGCTAACACCCATTATTGGTTACATTAGTTCCCTTGACAGTCTAACCAATACTTTTAATGATGTTCTGTTTACAGCACTTCTGACTCAATTTCTTCTCAAAACAAAAGATAGTTAAATCTGTGTCAGATTATCAAAAACTGCCTGTGTATTGTCATCCAGTAAAGGCATTTGTCAACAACACCATTTCTTATGGAAAGGCAGCTCCAAAACACCTTTTCCAGCAAGGAAAGTTTTATTTCACAAGTAATATCAATAAGTCCAACCCCAGGTTTTGTTTTTGACACAGTAGCTCAATTTACCAATAAACGCCCTCTGGGTTATTGCTCCAGTTTTTCTGCTGATGATTTTCTTGTTTGTTTGTTTTTTCACCTTTAAGGTCGACGCTGTCAGAGACAAAATTACAAATATTATGGTAAAAGACCCCTCATGCCTGTCTCCTTCAGTTTAAGCTGAATTTTAACCATGAGCTTAAGTTCAGTTTTTTATTATCACATTATTTCTAGTTTGAATCCCAGTGATGAAACTTCTAATACAGAGGAGCGTTTTCACACTATGGGCTGCTGTCTGTTTCCTAGCAACTTGCCGGTTTCCACAGCATTGTTTTAAAGAGCTTCAGGGGGAATATGGTCGAAATTTTATGCGTTGCCTCTGGGATGTCAGGTACCCAAGCAATTATCAGCAGGAGACTCCCTCAACCCCAACACAAATGAATAGTAATTTTCTCTGCATCAAGGGGATCATCATCAATTTGTGTTACAATGGAACATGTCAGTCAAAAGTTATTGTCTTGAAAGAAACATGTCCATCTTGTAATCCACAGACACACCCCTTATATTTAGAAAGGAAAATGCAGTTTTAAAGAATATCTGTTTGCTTGGTATTGTTCCTCCACTATTAATTAATAGAATTAAAAACACTTTCTGAAACTGGACTAAAATGATACTTTTTGCTCAAAGTTGCAATAATCAATATTTTTTAACTTTGTTTCTAGTCAATGCAGGCAGCTTTTTTTCAGCAGAAAAGTTCCAATAAACCCACTGAACCATACTCCAAATAATGAGACGGTTGTTAACAATTTGTGTGATTGTCTGAGGTCTTGTGTTGCTACTTCTAATGGACTCAGTTTTAGAGATGTAGCTACATCCCCAGTCTGGAGAAAAAAAAGTAATTTACTCCTAAGAAACAGTAGTAGAAAACAAGACCCATGTTGTAAATAGTTGTAATTTTCTTTCTCGGTTTAGGTCAGGTCAAGTTAGGTGAGATTACTTCTACATATACCATCTTTTGTGTCTACATCTGGAGGTCTTGAGCACTGCTCAAATGGGTTTTCTCTGCAAGTAAAAAAGATGTTGCACAGCCAAGAGATACTTTTGGTGAGAATTCAACGACAGCACTAATATGAGAAGCCAGAGATTTGAAAATAGTTTTGTTGAAGGAACATCAGCATCCTCAAAGGACATTGAAATGAAAGTGCCCTGTTGCTTTTTAGATGGAGAGAAAGTAAAAGCATATCGTGTACAAACGCAAGGGCTTGCTGATGGGAATGCTTTCACAAAGAATACAGTATGTGTGTGTGTGCGCGTGTGTGTGTTCAGGATTTTATGCATGTGTTTGTGTCTGAATGCAGAGATGAAACTTATACATAATGCAACATGCTACACAGGGCACCACTCACCCGGGTATCATGAGTCAAGGTGATATTACCCACTCTCACACACTGCCCCATGCTCTTATCAGAGTACGGTAATGATTTCAAGGTGAAGTGGGTCAGTGGTGTACACGATAATATATTTAGGCAGACCACTGTTGTGAACCATCTGTAGGTCCCACTCAGAGCCCTGCGATTCAGGTGAGCAGCTGGAGAGCTACAGATGGCTGAGTTAGTGGAGGAAAAGAGTGGGGTCATGGAGAGGAAGATAGAGTTGCTTGCACTACTATATGTTGATCCCAGTGAAGTACAAGCCGATTGTTGGTACACCTTCAGAGCTCCCGCGGGTCTTCTCTATCTAATCTGTAATATATAGATGAAACAGCACAGACCTGGATATTCCTTTTTTTTTTTTTCTTTTGAAATTCAACACTCTAGAGGAGGGAAGCTTTTGGAAACGCGGGCTTTAATGAATAAATTCTAAACCACATTCAGTTATTACTGTGGACCCTGATGTCATGTAGCTTGGTATAAGTCTGATTGCACTGTTCACGGGGTTCAAGTCAGTGTGAAGAGCTGCGTAAGAAACAGTGTGATAGGAGCAGCTCAGCAGGGTTAGCGTTAATGCTCCAGATGGCTCTCTAACATAGCCAGACAGTGCATTTCGTCTTCACTTCAGCTTTGTGGACTTTCTCTCTTGCTTTGTTCTGTTGAAATTATACAAGTGTGATTAAAAGAGTATATTGAAATATTTTTTCTTCTTATTGCTTCAGTGTGCATGGCTAAGCTAATTAATTCATGTGATCTGAAGGGAAGCTTTTTTTCTCTTCCCTTTCTTCCTGTGTTTTCGCACAAAAACAATTGGAGCATTGAAGAGAGACCCAGACAACTGCATGCATATCATTGGCACTTTTGCACATTTGACGTCATCAGCATTTCCCATGCCTGCCAATACCCATTCATGCGCATAAAGGGGAATGACTCAGCTTAAGAATTCTTATATTATTCCAGCCGTCTATGCCGGGCAGATCAATAGCACTATCAGCTCTGTCAAAAGCTGGAGAGCTGAGACTCAGAGGTGATGTCACCAGCATAAAGCGCAGAGCCGCTCCACAGGCAATTGGATTTTATTAGCAGTGAGTGAGTCCTCTTTGCTCAAGTTTTTGGTTTTGATCTGTTTATATTCATGATTCAAGTCCTTGGTCATAGCAATCAAATGTCATTTGAGAGAAGAATTTGAAAACTTCAGAGTAGATCTTTCCTTACCTCTGTCAGAGCCAGTTTGAAGGGTGCTCCTAAAAAAATGGCTACATTAGAAGTCAATGTCCGGTTCAAAATTAATTAATTAAGAGGGTTACTCGCTTTTTAATTTTTGTAATTTACGTACACGCAGGTTCGCATTCACATATAGTACTTTGTGAGGTCAACAAAAATCAAGGTGAACAGAAGATAGAAATTCTACCTTGGTAAATAATTAAGCAAGCTGCTGCGTGGTAAATCAGCTTAGCTTGTGGGGAAAGCTTTTCATACTTTTTGCTAGTGGAGTCCTCCATCTACTACATGGCCAAGACATGGCAGGTAAACAGAGAGGTCCTCTTAATGGCTTTATTCATGACTATGGCTGCACTTAGTTGTAGAATATCAAAGCCAACACAAACTGTTAGACTATAGCCAATGTTACTAAGTAAAAGGAACAATGAGATATCTTCCACATACTTTGAAGTTAGTATGAACCAAACATAGATAGATAGATAATTTGCATTTCACATTGTAACCTGGAGAGCTTGAGAGGGTCCCAAATGAAGTTGCATCCCCTTTACCTCACAGTTACCTCTTCACAATTTGTTGGTGTCATGTTGTGTGTCTGTGCTTTTACCTTTTCAATGTGTAATACTGGATATATTTGATCCAAGACTCCATTAAATGTTACACCATTCTAGTTTAATTTATTGGTTAAGCCATATTCACATTGACAGTGACATGGCTTTCCTCTTTTCAGAAGACTGGCTGTCTTTTTTTAGTTACAGTGACAAAATTGCCCGAGGCACCGCCGCATGTAGTAATAGCAGCCTGTATTTGTCTCTTAAGTGAGTGCAGATCCCTTTATAACACAGATGTATGACAAGTGCTACACTTGTGCAATTAGAAACATTGTGTAGTAGTAGATCATTGCCATTTTTCTTAATGATAGTGCACAGAGAAGTGTCTCTTAAGACAGAAAACTTATTTCCTCGGGCACTATGTCTGTCTTCTTTCCTTTCTCCGCTCCTCCCTTACCTGTGCCCAATTATTCTTCTCTTAACTTCCTTCTCATTAGTCACTTTTTAGAAAAATTTTTTTTTAACTTGCTGTAATGATTCCTACGTTCCTTGAAAGGTTTCTGATCAATTAATCAAAACTAGATTGGAAAAAGCATTATTGCGGAAGGAATTGGACTGTACTGTAACTTAGTGGGAGGCCTTATGAACTGAAACAAATTATGAAACATGTATTTTGAAAGTAAATTTGACAATCTGTGCTAATAAAAAAAAAATAAATGTAAAACTCAAGTTCCCTTAGCTATTCTAGAAGGTTTGAGCCAGCCTTATTATACAGCAATAACTAAGAAAGTGAACCTTGAGTTTAGATTTTCTATGACAGAAATGTGCTCCTGACGTCAAGATTGAACAATCCAACGATATTTTCAATTCAGATTTTTTGAAAGGACAGATTTTATGCATGCTGCCGATTTCATTTTACACCACTTCTCAGATGGTAATGACTTTTTTTTTTGACTGGCATCAAAGGTTGCGATGGTGTTGAACATTCACGTGTAGGCAATTTACATACAGTGTAGAGGGCAATTCCACTCTTGCTGAAAAACTGGAGTTTTTTTTTTTAACTGTTTTTAAGACCAAAACTAAACAATAAAAAATAATAATAAAGTGAATTTTTTTTTTTATCTATTTATCTGTGTCACGCAGAACCTTGAATACCTGAATAACATTAAAGGAGCGAAAACAAATTGCTATTACCCTCGGTCTGAGATTAATGAAATCATTTCTCTAGTTAAAAACATGACAGGTGTCACAATTCACAATGAAAAGTAGAAATGTCAACATTTGACATTAATGTGAAATAAATACCTTGTGAAAAATGACTTGTTTGATACTTGTTTGCATACTCTAATAACAGCAACATTTAAGAATACATTCTTGTGTTTCCTCTGTCCCTTTCAGACCAGTGCACTGTGACAAGATCCTATCTTTTCCTCCACAAGTTTTGGTTCTTCAGCACCATCTACTACTTTGGTAACTGGGCCTTTATTGGGGTAAGTCCAAGGATATAAATCAAATGTCATCATCTTGATTTTAAGTCAAGTGAGAATTACAGTAGAATGTTTCAAAGTAAGAATTTGGAGGGGGAGAAAGAGCTCAGGCAGGTTGGATTTTGCTCATTTTTGGCAAAGATGAGTTAAAAACAGTAAAAATAGTTATTTTGTATCTTTTGACCAATAATACATTTACAGAAACAACATGTATAAAACATTTAATTTAATTCAAGAGCAGTTTCTTAGAGGACAAGTGTGAGAGCAGAAGCGCATAATTTAATTTCTTCTCAGAAAAAGGTTACTGGAAAATGATTTTCCGAGACTGCACACAGCTAATCTCCTCAGCAAAATATTTAATAGCCTCTTTCCCGGTGCTGTTGACGCATTGTATCGATCAAATGATCCTTATGAAATATTTCCTAATGTGTGCTTTGCTTATTATTTTTAGGCTTTCCTCATTGGCCTGGCGGTGTCCTGCTGCAGAGGGAAGAAGTCTGTGATTGAAGGAGAGGTGGAGGCCGATGACTCAGACCTAAGTGATGATGAATATGTGCACTGAATATCAGTATTGGATCGGACGGGTTTGCAGATATTCCAACCATAATTTAAAGGGACTAGAAAGTACAATTTCATAAACAAACAAATGGATGTCAGTAATTTGTCATAATTTAATTTGTTGGTTTTAAGAAGTTATTGCAGTGGTCTCTTGTGGACTCGAGTTGATGCATCCCTCCCCTTAATGAGACCACTTAGACTTATTGTCGTGTCTTTCTCGGTCAATATTTTTGATGACTTTGGGATTCTGGGAGCGTCCTCCAACTCAGTCCTACCTTGAGAATTCAGTCATCAACAGTTTAAAACTGACAGAAGTTGGTCATTTTTCTACCGGAAGAGATACGGTTATTGCGGCAGCAGAGACAGAGTCGTATAGTGCTCCAAAACTTGGACATTAATATACCTTTTATGTCCTATAAACACTTCTAGACCCTTTAAATGCTTACCGTATGACAATATCTATATTGTCTTTAATAAACCATTTAAGATAAAATACTATGAAAACAATTGAGCCTACAGAAAACATCTTGCTTGTTTCCTGAAAAGCTAGTTGGTAAATAATAAAAAAAAATAAAAATAATGATTATTATTGAGCGTTGACAGCAGTCACATTTTCAAAGTTGGTTTTGCTTGTTTATGTCTGAGGTTAAATATAGTTCTAGGTGATTTGCTGCTTTTCCCCTGCATTTAGGTATTTGCAGTCTCACACTATTATTTAAACAAACATTACTGTACTTGCATACCTGCACTGTGTGTGAAATGTAAAGGACCAATCGTGGCTATTGTGTTTTCAAGGTTTCAGTTATTCTCGGTTTTTAATGAAATGAGTTCAACAGCTTTTGCACTCTGTGTTGGAAGAACATGAGAAAAAAATTGAATTAATCAAAGATATGGATGTAATTTTCTTTTAATTAAGGAGTACTTCATCAACAGCCGGCTTGTGACAGAACTATTAATGGCTTTTTCTTTTCAGCTTGATTTCTTTTCTGTATTTAGTGGTCTAAATGTCAAAATGAATACCAACTGTTTTAATTCACAATTAACAAACTGACAGGATATATGAATATGAATGACATTTTTTTAAAATTAGGAAATCAAATGTTGGTGCCTCATGAATGTACAGAACCATGATGGGCACACACTTAAGTATATGCTATCCTGAGTTAACCCACAGAGATCAGCCTGAATCTTGTGAATTTTGTTAGTCTGGTGTCCCACCCTCACTGAGAACCAGTGAGCCAGCAGTTGGAAATGTGGTTAGCTGATGATGACAGAAGCTGCATCACATGTAGTTTGAAAAGAATGCTGTTGTGGAAGTTGTGTTCATGTTTAATGATTCCTGCATTTAAAGAAATAAACAGATTTTAAACACTTCAAAGTTGGCCCAGAAAATTTCATTTTTTCATTTTTGAACCTTTCATACCCAATATTCAGTGCAAATGTATCATTCTGAGATCTCGCTTTGCCACAACATGATGCCTTTCTGTTGTAAACTCAGCTATAGAAAAAGAACCATAACTCTAAATGGATCATATTTTAGCAAGCTACCATATGTTACAGTTGTTCACAGGGGAAGTCAATGTTTTTGTTGTGTTTATGCCAACTTTCAGACATGTAACTTTGTTGAACGCTTCAGAGTGACTTAGTTCAGATGTTCTAATTTCTAATACCTAGTGTTTGAGTCAGACTTTTGCTTCTTTTATTAAAACCAATAAAATTCCTTGCAACACAGTACAGGGAGCATCCATTTTTCATTACTCTACTATCAAATACTCCTCCAAATATCTGACCATTCCTCATTTTGCTGTCTATAAATCATTGGCTATGTGTTTTTTTCTTTTTATGAAATCTCTATAATAGGAAGTTTGTGATGAAGAGTAAACATTTAAATTTGCCTTTAATTCTGTGTTACATACAGAATTTATCTTCATTAACCCCTGACTATAATGAGTGATTGGACAAAATCTATTTAGGAGCTCCAAAGTACATAACCTACAATCTGTTAATCAGTGAGTGAGAATGTGTATTTTTCTGTTCAAAGCTCAGGTCTTGACGCCTAAACAAGTTTTTGTTATTTAAGGACATGTATCGAATGAAACTGACAGTAAAATATATCCATTCTTGGATTAGCATATAACCACTCAGAGTTTGCTTTAGATGGATTTGCATGAAATTTTGAGCGCATGTCCAATTAGAGTTTTTGGTACGCATACCTTGTCATAACTATTGTTCAAGCCTGCTTTGAGATAAGCCATTATGTGATGTGCCACCCCCGCATTCACTAATAAACCAAATAAGCCTTGAGCCAAAAACATGGAACCCTAGAACTGTAGCAGGGAGGACTGTGTGATAAACATGTCAGATCAGAAGATTTTTGCTGTTCAGAGTACAACTTTTCCTGTCATACCACTTATTCAAAAGCCACTCTTGACTCATTTTCCCCCCTTTCTTCCTGCATGATGTTTTAGGCTTCTCTTGCAAGATTATTTGGGAACAATTAATACATTTTAATTTTTTAATGAATAGATGAATTAATTAGTTCAGTAAAATCAAAATATTTTTGCAAGGAGCTACAGTAGTAAGATTTGGCTGAGGGCCATTCGTGACAGATAGTGTCAGTTGGTGAACATGACAAAATTCATTTGATCTTGCATTTGATTGTCTTGGCCAACACAAACACACACACCATGTAAGCAGGGGGAGATTTTAAACTTGCCAACCTAATTGCTTTGGGACTCAAGCTTTCAGATCTCCAAATCATTTTAAATCAGAAAAAGAAGCCACTAAAGCTCCAAGAGAGCAGTGGGCTTTGAGACTCCAATCAATTTGAGACCTCAAAGAAACCTATGGTCTCATTACGTCCTGCTAATTGTCAGTTAAACAATGCAAAAATAGTGCCTAGTATCCCTATTATTTTATTTTTTTGTGATTATCTAATATCACAATTCAAGAAACTAAAAAACAAAACCTAACCACAAAAAAACGGCCCACTGTTTGGTTCTCTGACAGTAGATGAAAGTCCTTTTTTCTGAGGCAGACCCTGTTTTCAAATAAGGCAGAGATGATTGTGTAGAGTACTATAGGTACCAAGAGGAATTACAGAACAGTGCAGCCATTGTCAAGGGCCTCTGTACCCATCATCTATCTTACTGCTCCACAGGATGAAAGACCATAATGCATTATACAGTGCATGGTAAGTACCTGCTGTGGAGTCTTCCAAAGTAAAATTTTTGTTGAGGTTTCCGAACTTTTTTCTTCTTGTCCAGTGCAACTCTCTCGCAAAGTACATAGTTTCACAGTTAAATACGTTATAGCTTTACCTATTTATCTAGTGATATGACATACAGTATAGTTGGCAAACTGAAGTTGGATGGTATTTTTTTGCTAGCCTGTCAAAATATTTAGATGTGTTATAAAGTTGCACCTTCAATAATTATGGGGATATTTGAATGTAAACAGTTGTCAGAGCTGAATTAATTAACTGTACATTATAAATGTTTTTTTTCCCAGCTAATTTGTAATTGATGTGTTAATAAGCCGGAAGCGTAACTATCCTTGGTTCCCTTACCCCCTAACCCCAGAACTGGGGAACGTAAGACCAATTGTCATGTTACCATCATGTGCCATATCTGGGAAACATAGGACACTGGGATAAATAGGAATGACCGCCCTAAGCCTGGTGCCAAGCTAACTTTAGCTACGGACGTTTGTTAGCAATACAGTCTATGAGCAGTTATGCTAGCAGTGATGTGAGCTAAATGCTAATGTCAGCATGCTAACATGCAGATGTTTAGCAGGTTCAAGTTTAACATGAGAACCATTTTAAGTGTGCTGGCCTTTTTATGCAGTCTATGGTGCTAGCATACTAACATTGGCTAATTAGCACTAAACACAAAGTACAGCTGAGGCTGATGGGAATGTGTTATTTGGTCATAAACTAAACTAGTTAATTGTACAACTTTTGATTATGAGGAGATGGAGGCTGGCCGACTATTACAAGTTATTACAATTATGGGAGTTAACTTGTAACTATTACTGTACTTTTCCTCTTTCATTATGTCCTCCACAACATTTGCCTGGATGTTTTCTGTGATTTTTGGGTGGCCCCAAGGCCCAAGCCTTACCTCTGTGCTTTAACTCTTCTGACAGCCCTTTATAGACGAACAGTTTGCCTTACCCCTCTAGGGAGGAACGGGATGCAGGATCAATGTGATTATGTTGATTTTGTGTTTGCAGCCCCTATGCTGGTTAACCTCTCTGCTCTTATGGGCCTGTGGGACCTGCCATTCACTCCCAAATGAAGACTTCTCCAGCAGGCTTGTCAACATGTACCAGCTCCATTTACCAACGACTAGCCTAAATAATACAACTTTCCATTTTCAGACACACAGGGCATTTTGTCAACCTCATAGCAGACTAACTAGCCTTCTCTGCAAGATTTTCATTAAATGACAGTCAAGTGTGAAATATTAAATTATTAAAAGTCAAGTCACTCTTTGTCATATTTCTCCCATTACCTAAGAGAGACTAATCTAAGCTCCTCCAAGTATGATGTGAAATATTTACACAGTCACTGATGCTGGAATATGATGGCTGTCAAAATAAAAGTGTTTCACCTCCATATTGTGCAGTATTGTTGGAGGAAACAACCACTCCAGTTATTAAAAGAAAAAACTATGAGCTGAGCTGCATGAAGTCTAGAATTTAGATCACAAGTACTTCTAAACCCTTCCTTTGAGGACAAAAGGAAAGGAAAAATCATAGAACTGTCTCAAATAGTGTTGTAGACTATAACACCAACTTAAAATAGGCCATTTCAGACAGTTTATTTGCATGGTAAAGTTTGCCATGCTCAATTGCTGGTAAGACACTACGTATGGCACACTCATCTGACAGTGACATAATTCACCCAGTGGAGCTGATGAGGATTTTTGATCCCATACACATTTAGAGCTCCACGTTCGAATATTATTAGATCATTTAAGTACATAAGGTATCTTTGGAGGCACTGAAGCCTGTCTGTTTCCATCTTTCTCCAAATGACATTCATTCTGTTGAAGAAAAGGTCTGCCAGCCATGCATTTATTGAGATGCTTATAGTTTTGGGAGAGAAAATAAGTTTGAACAGTTGCATGACTGGTAGATAAAAGAAATGCAGTTGTGTGCATTCCTAAAATGACCTTGGTTTGCATTTTGCAGTACAGTCTGTACTACTAGCACAAAATCTAACTTTAATTCATTAGCATGAAGAGAACATGCATTTAATTTAGAATGCCAATAGCTTCAAAATTGTCATGTTAATACAAATACTGTAGTGTCTTCTGAAACCTGTTAATAAATGCACTATAGTTGCTAACAGGTTCCATTGCTCTCTCAAGACAAAGGTCCCTTTGTGTGTTTAACACAAGAATACAGTTCCAGCAATGGCTGATTCCATTACTACTTGAAAATATATCCTTGATAAAGATTATTTCTCTTTCATGTTTTATTTGGGGTCAGATTTTTTTTATGAAGAAAAAACACATTTTTTCTGAGTGGTGAGAAGACAGTGTTTCTAAAAGCATTTCACTGCATTTGACATGGGCACATCAGTGAAAAAAAATCTCTCGCAGAGCCTCTAACGGGCACAAATACTGTATGTAATTAATCTAATTATGCATGGTAGTCTAAATTGAAATGCACTGGAAATTCAGACATTAATGTCTAGACTTAATTTATGTTGCAACGACATCAGAGCACAACTGAGAGTCCTCATTAATGTAATTCTGTGTTTATTGTCTGCTTCCCCCTTTTTCCTCTTGTCATCAGTCTTCACTGAGGGTGCAGATCCAAGTCACTGCTCCTCCTCCTCCTTCGTCTCTTCTTCTTTTGCTGGGTGGACCGCTGCTCCCCAGAGGGGGGACTTGTACTGATGCTCTCATTGCCGAAGTGTCAGCCACCAGACAGGACAAACAACATTTTCCCTAAGCCCTCTGTGTTCTGTGCGGCCCTGTCTGCCCAGGAAAATCTTAACTGATCTTATCAGTTGAACCTTCTGCTGGCACAGGAACCTATTAGGAGTTTGAATGTTCCCTATCTAAATTCAGAAATCGGATTTGGGGGTGGATTTACGAGAGGAGTCCAGAAACTTTAGAGCCTTCACAATTAAAGGGCATGTTTAAATGATAATGGGAATGACTAACCTGAGCTAAACATCATCAGAAGGGACTGGAGAGAACTTTTTTGGATAATATAGTAATAAACTAAACTAGAAAAAAGACGTGTTTGACAAAAGTCCAAACAAATTTTATGCATTTTAGAAATGGGGGACTGTGTTATTATCTTAGATAATAGAGGTCCAATTTTCCTACAATTCACCATTAATACTCCACCAACAATTTTCACATCCACATGCCCATCATTTCACACATTCAAATGTTCTCTTAACAAAGCAATGGGAACAATGAAATCCACAACCAACAAACCACATAAACTTGACACAACCTCTGAAGCAGTACGAACATATTTCCTCTTTTATTTACATTCCTTTTCAAATGTTAACATTTTTCGCTATAACTTTTGATCAGGTTGGCATTTGTTCTCATTAAAATAAATTGGCACAAGTAAAACATATGTAGACAAAAGTTTATTTACACCATACAACATTTTGTTTTTAAATATTTTATACAGAGCTGCAGATGAGAGAGCTTGCTGGGATCCTTCAAGCAGATTCTGCAGTATTAAAGTTGTGAAATATATTATTTATATAAAAGTGAGTATTATCTTTATTGCATTTAAAGCAATGAAGAATGTAGCTTGACAAACATTCATTTTAATATGACCGAAAAAATCCTCTTTGCCTCCCATGTTTTATATTATAAAGTAAAAAGTGTAGTAATGGCCAAACAGACTGTTATAAACTTTTTAAAAACCTGCATAAATATATACATTGTGCTCCTGGGTCCAGTTTTATGAAATCAAAACTAGACCCAACGAAGCTGGGACGACATGGCATGTCATTTGCTTTGTGAGGTTTCATCTAGAGAGTTACCTTTTTTAGCCAATTCCTCAACAGATAATTTGAAACACATGATGGTAAATATTGTACACCAGGCTGCCCCACACTAAGTACACTAGTGAGAATACAAAAAGTAACACTGATGTTTTTTTCCCTTTTTTCTTTTTTGTCTCTCCTCAGTCCATAAATCGTATTGGCACATAATGTCCCTGCCACACTCGTATTTTCCCGATATGTATGCCAAGGCTGTTAGAAAAGTCTGTTGCTTTATTCAGTGCAAAATACATCCTTTTCTCCTCCTTCCCTAGTTTGCATTTTCTCCTTCGTCACCCTCTAGACCTCTGTTTGGAAATCTCCCTCCTGGACGTCTAAGGGTAAGTTGACACACTTCTCCCACTCTGCAGGCGTCATCTCCAGTGAGTCCTTGGTGTCAGATTCTAGTACATTCATAGTGGCGTAATTCTGGTACTCACAGGCTGGATTGTAGCTCTCCCATGGGTTCTTGTTTGGCATTGCCTTGTCCTGTGAACATGGTCATTGGGGTGCGATATTAGTGGCATGACATCCTCTGCAGTTTTCTGTTTTGTTTTTTTGCAAGAAAATACTTTTCCAATGAAGTCAGTTCATTCAAAAGGGCACTGTATGAATTCCTACCCATTGCTAATTGAAAATAATGGGTTAATGCTGTGGAAAGCATCAAATAACAAAAGATAATGGTAGTGTATTAAATGTGACCATGCTTACACTATTATCATGGAGTCATAGCAGAATTGTGTTATCCCTAAGCTTGGAAACTGGTGCACTGGGTTTCATGTCTGAGCCATTCATCTGAATGTGCTCTCACTTGCAGTCCCAAAGACACATTTGCAAATAAGGGAGAGAAGCTGCTCCCAGTCAGGGAATATAAAATGGATACTAATGTCTGCAGCCAGCTCTGCAGCAGATTCATTTGGGAGAAAAAATAAAAGTGGGGAGTGAGAATATACTGTAGTTATCGTTTTCTATACAAAAGCACTTGCACTGGTAACTAAGCAACAGGCCTCAAATTACATTGTGCTGTAGGGGTGATTGAAATGTGAGTGAAAAAGGATTACATGGAGCCAAAAAGGCTGCTGCTGTGTAGCTGACATCGCCTAATAGTCTGGCTGTGTTTGGTCACCAGCCCAATTTATATTTGTTGCATTCAATACAGAAAACATTGCTGTTTGTCTGAGAGAGATGCATAAAGCTTGACACCCACATTGTCTACAGCTCTAGCAAGGTGTGGAGACAGATGGTGGGACTTTTGATTTGCAGCACGGTCAGGAAGAATTTGAATAACTCCCCCTCCCCCCCCAACACACACACACACACTCACACACTCAGTTGCAGTAAGAAAACGGCGAACTTAAGGTAATATTTGTATAGATGTTGATAGATTAAAATATCTGCCATGCATTAATGGAAAATGATGGTGTTGCTAAGTAGATAAATGTGCATGTAAATAAAAGTGCATTCGTGGCCTTGCATTGGAATGGATGCACTCTATTGCAACAAGATTACCAAAGGTCTTTTTTCCCCTGAGACTGGCCTTGTGGAGTAAATGCTTCAGTTCTTTTAAAGGGGCAGCCCCCCCGCCGCCAACTGCTGGCAGGCCCACTATGTATAGGAAGGTTCATTTCCACATGAACACTTTAACTACATAACCGCTCATTTGCACAATCACACATTATGTGTCCTGCACAGGATACCTATATGGTATATTTAGATGTTGCTCTCTTTAATTGGCTGACCATCACCCCCCTGGTTTCCTGTTACTCACCATGCTGCCCATATTTGGTATGTCTCGAAATCGGTCCAGGGTTTGAAATTTCTGATTCAGTTCCTGGAACAGCTCCATGTGTCTTTTCCTGGTGTGCATGACTTTCTGCAATGGCAAGGGTTTTTTCTTTGGTATTGACAGCCAATAATGGAAATGCATCTTCTTCTCCACCCCCTCCAACTCTGATCAATTTGTTAGTGTCATGGTAGTTTACTTATAGGCCAGGTCTGAAACAAATCTACTTGTCTCTGCATATATAAGTGACTGCCAAAATAAAGGAAACACCAAGATGATTAAAGTTAGGGAGATACAACATTGAAAGCCTGAACTACTTTAATTTGCAATGGCTGGAGTATCTGGATTAAACATAATTCTTCAGTGAAAAAATGCCTCATTTAGAGTTTTGTTGGCGTAAGGGAAAGCTTTATAATCAAACCTTGGCACAAATCTTCCACTTTAAGGGTCAGTGTGCATCTAAGCTACAACTAAATCCACCCTACGCCAGTATAGCGGCCAGAAACTTCATGTTTCCTTCACTTTGAAAGTATGTACAATATATATATATATATATATATATATATATATATATATATATATATATATAAAGCCAATAAAGCCTAATTTAACAATGCAAAGGAAATGCTAAAACCTGCCATAGGGGGTTTGAATATGTGTTTGCAAGCCAGTATAATCATTGTTGAAAGTGTGGTAAAATCAGATGTGAAATGTGCAAATGACTTTAAAAGCATACATTTTGAAAATCAACGTATAGCTAATGGATGTAGGAGATGGAGGACAAAATGTAGATGAGAACTGTTGCCCT